TCCCTTTATTAGGCTTAATGACTGAAAAATTAGCCTGTGCATTAACAACTGCCTTTCAAGTTTCCTCAGAATCTTTGGTTTCTATCTGGTCAAGTGGAATACATCTTATCGAACAGGGGGGCCAACCTGCTTCACAGGTGCCTCAAGCAGCTGCTGTGTCTAATGCATGAGCCCAAAAAAATCTTTTTGATATAATGGCCACACGGAAAATAACTGAGGAAGAAAGAGCTGTATGGTAAGGAATATTAACCAGTGGTTAAAAAGTTTTTCCATTACTTGACTTGAAACAAAACTTTCACTTCAAATTAGTTATAGTAACATCCCCTTTGAGAACTGGCATCAAGCCTTCACCAACACCCAGGCTTGCAAGTGGGAGAAGTACACCCTGCTAGCCGACATCCTGAGGGGCCACGGCTGCAACGTGATGGTCAACGCGCTCATCGTGGGAATGCTCGGAGTTTGGGACCCCAGAAACAAGAGCGTCCTGTATGCCTGCCGTGTCTCCCGCCGCTACGCCAAGCTGATGCGCTGCCTCATGGTGTCCAACACGATCCGCTGGTCCCGTGACATCTACATGGAGCACATCATGGGCCGCCGCCACTACACCGACCCCACCAGACCGACCACCACCGGACCGGACCGGACCCAGAGGGGACCGCCTGAACCCCCCTCTGCACCTGATGGACTTCACTTTGAGAGGAATCTTCAGCAACGGACCACCCCACTCCACCCGAAGAGGACCCCCCCAATGAGACTCTATATGGACTGAGAAACTTTCATCGATGTATTTTCTCCACCACTGTGGACCATTGTATGGACTTCTGTGCATCTATCTTCTTTCTCTCTCAGCATCGTGAACCCCCTCTCTCCCCTTCCCCCAACCCCAGGCTTAGTTAGCTAACACTGTATTTTCAGGAACCTAGTTGCATTCCCCTCCTCACCCCATCCCTCTTATGTTAGTCCCACACTCAGGCGATCTGTAGTTCCCCACTGGCTTTGTCATCTTTTTGGATCCACAATCCTAAACATCTAACAATAAAATTCAATCTGTTCTGGCTCTGTCACTGTACCTTTCCAGGTGAGTTGGAGCAACCCAACCCCCACAGATGGACAGGAAGAAAAGGAAGCTAGAGAGAAAGAAGTATTACTTAATAAGGGGTGTTTAGTTTTTGATCATCTACACCAGGGCTAGGGACGGACATTCAAAAAGCCAGAGCCTGAATTGATTCAACCTTTGCAGGTTAGTCTAAGCTGCCTAGGTTGAACTGGTTTGTAACAGGACATACATTCACTCTGGACTGAGGAACTGTGAGCACATGCCTGCAGTTGCTCAGACCAGGAGCTGGAGGGCACTAGAGTGCCCTCAGCTGCAAGGAAGTGTGCTGGGGGGGCATGGCCAGTCCACGCTGAACTGGCCAGAGGGGAGTTTAATTCCCCTCTCCCTGTGCCACTGCCAGGGACATGAGCCGGGTCTGCCAGGCACTCACCCCTCACTGCCAGGGCACCATGGCCCCTGAAGCAGAGGGGGACAGGGAGGAGAGTTAGTCTCCCCCCTCTATCCCCACTGGCAGCCAGGTCTGCCCGCCACTGCTGCCATGCTCGTTCCCTGCAGCAGACTAAGCCCCCTTCTGTCCCCTCCACCAGATGCTGGAGGGAGGGGGAATAACCCCATCCCTGCCCCTCCCCCACAAAGGGGCCCTGCCCGCCAGTGTCTGGCCATACCCCTGCCCAGCAGCTGCAGTGGGAGGGGGCAGGGCCTTTGATGGGAGCAGCAGCCCCTATCATAATATCAGGGAGTGCAAGCCCCTTCCCAGTGGGGGCACTGGACTGCGGGGCTGGCAGAGCCGAGGCAGGCTGCGCACGGCAGCACTGGGGTCTGGAGAGGGCCAGAGCTCTCCCAGCCCCCACCAGTGCAGCTGCACTCTGCAGCAGCTTCCCTCAATCACAATGAGGCTCTCCGTCAGGAAGGGGCTTGCACAGGGTGACACATAGGGGGTGTACAACTGTGCACCCCCTGAGAGTGCCGGTGCACTCCAAGCACCAGCCAGGGAGTGGGGGACCTGGTGGGAGCGGGGACAGGACCAGACACCACCTGCAGGGCCTCTGGAAGGGGGATCTGGGGTCTGCCATCAAAGGCCCTGCCCCCTCCCACTGAACAACACTGAGCTGTGGAGTCACCATGGTTTGTTGATTTTCCATGTTGACTCTTGTGGGGTCTAGCCAAATGAACTATGGTAATTCATGAGCCTTTTGGCTTTGGACTAATAGCATGCTTAGGTTGTACTGTACTGTGCTGTATAAGTAGATATAAAGGTGCTGCTTACATGCGTGTTTATGGAGTACCTGTGCTAAAACTTGTAGCTGTTTGTAAAAAGGTAAGATGCATCAATTCTGGATGAACTAAGCGCATGGGTGCTGCCTACATATGTTTAATTAAGGTTATGTTTTCAGATTTGTTCCTCCACGTGCTCCGGGAGACCAGGGTCTGGGGCTGCCAGGGGGAAAAGCTGGAGAGAAGCAGAAAGCAAAGGGGCTACCTGACCCCCGGACTTATTTTCCTTGCTCTAGCAGTGGGAAGAGGATAAATGCAATGCAAACCTCTAATAATTAGATTTTATATCTGGAAAACTATAACAAATGTACATGTTTTCCATATATAGATCCTAATTATTAAGGAATCATTTTATATTCAAGTAAATATGGTAATCCTTCTCACCCATCTCAACTGCTGTCAGTGCTGTACTATTAGTAGCACAGAAACTTAGTCCCATCAATTTAACTTCACGGCTAATATTAGAGGCAGGCATCTGGGACAACAGCATAAGGAGCCTTAATGAGGTGCAGACAAATGAGCAGAGTCTGAACAACAAGGTCTCACTAATAAGGTAATGAGCATTAATGAAGTGTGAAAATCCAAGATTAGACTATTCCTGCACAAATTAACAAGCATGCTTAAACTGGCTCAAGTGGTTCTCTTAATATTGAAATCTAAGGGATTTGACAAATCGCTAGTATTATCTTCAGGATTAAAAATGGCTACCCATCTTACCTGCTGGCAGCTTACAGCCTCTATACTGTCCTGCATTTAGCAACTTTCCTAGGACCACAAAGCAACCTAAGGCTTAGACAGGGACAAAATTCAGTTAATGGCTTAATCTAAAAACCACTCTTCGCTTACATTTTCCTGTCTCATTCACTAGCCATTATCTAGCTTCTGCAGAAAATGACGTAATCTTAATATTTTTAAATATATTGCAAACAACGAATTAATATTCTTTAAATAAGAAAATGTCAAGGTCATTCACTAATCATAAAAAACCTCTTCACTTGGATTAGTTAGCAGGGTTTTGAATCCAAGACCATTAACAATGTACCCAAGACTTACAACACTTGAGCAAAAGGATAAACTGACAGTAACACTAGGTAGCAACAAAGGAAAAAACACACTGAGGTACTGCAGTGAATGGAACCATTTCATGCAGAATAGCAAAGCACACAAGTTAAGGTTGTATATTTTCAGAGGCAGTGGGGAAAAGTGGCTGGTTTGTTTACCTGTCACATTAGAGATGTGTGTTCTATGCTCAACTAGGAAAGAACTGATTTCACAAATTGTCTTTTGCTCCTTTGTTCTGTAAAATGGAGAGAAATGTGGACACAATTATTTCTCTTCTAACAAAGGGATAGAAAGCCTTGATCAATGATAAGATAACACAATAAGATAGCACAATCATTGCCAGTGAGAAGAGGCAAGACTAGACCATAAGACTTCCGAATCTCAGGCCAGGATACTATGCACTAAAGGTGGTCAGCTTTTACAAATTTTAAACTGTAAAGACAGTAAACATGGAAGATTTCAGGTCAGAATAAGTGGAGTCAGGAAGTGTTTTAAGCAACTGAGAACAAGGGGAAATTATGGTAAGCATTTCATAGTGGTTAGGGGCTGGAAGGGACCTTACAAGATTATCAGGTCCAGCCCCACTGCACTTGGGCAGGAAAGACTGCTGAGGTCAGATGATACCAGTAAGGTGGGCATCAAGATGCTTTTTGAAAAAGACTGTAGCATCTCTGGGGGGAGCCTGTTCCAAAACCTTGGCACTCGGCTTGTAAAGAAGTTTTTCCTTATGTCTAGCCTGAAGTGATCCTCAATCAGCTTGTGCCCATTATTTCTTGTCCTCCCCTGGGGGGCCTTGGTGAACAAATGCTCCCCCAGGCCCTAATGTACGCCCTTGTACGAGTCTTCTCTTCTCCAGGCTCAAATGTCCCAAGTCTTTCAGCCTCTCCTTGTATGACCTGGTCTCTAGGCCTCTAGTCATGCACATGGCTCTCCTTTGGACTCTCAAGCTTCTCCACATCCTTCCTGAAGTGCAGCACCCAGAACTGGACATAGTACTCCAGCTGTGGTCTCACTAAGGCCAAGTAGAGCGGGAGGATGACATCCTTAGCCTTGCTCAAGATATTTCAGCAGATGCTTGTAGTGTTTGATCAGCTCTGCATCACACTGGTAGCTCATATTCATTTTGCTGTCTATCACGACACCCAGGTCTCATTCAGATGTACTGCTAGCAAGCATTCCACTGCAGATCTTCTGCGTTCTCCCCAGCTGGAGCACTTTACATTTCTCCGTATTAAATGAAATCTGGTTGAGGTCTGCCCACCTCATAAGCTTGTCCAGGTCGGCCGTATTGCCCGCCTGTCTTTGAGCATGATCATACTCCCCCATAGTTTGGTGTCATCAGTGAATTTTAATACCTGAATCCAAATCATGGATGAACATGTTGAAAAGCACTGGTTCAAGTACTGAACCCTGAGGGATGCCACTGGTCATCCTCTGCCATGACGACTCAGTTCCATCAATCAATACTCTCTGGGTCCTACCATGGAGCCAGTTACCCAGCCACCAGACCGTAAAGTAGTCAAGGTTGCATTTTCCCAATTTTTACGTGAGGACTTCATGGGAAACCAGGTCAAAGGCCTTTGTGAAGTCCAGGTATATGATATCAACCTCATTTCCCCCGTCCAGATGGCGAGTAACCCGATCATAGAAGGAAATGAGGTTGGTCTGGCATGACCTGCTAGTAACGAAGCCATGTTGGCTATCCTTCAGAATACTGCTTTCTGCTAGCCTGTCTGTAATGTTTTCTTTGATAATTTTTTCCAGGATTTTACCACAGACTGAGGTCAAACTGATTGGCCTGTAATTTCCCAGGTCTTCCTTTCTCCCTTTCTTAAAGTCAGACACCACATTGATCTTCTTCCAATCTCCTGGGACCTCTCCCAACTGCCACTAGTCTTCAAATAACTTTGCCATGAGTCACATGATGACACTGGCCAGTTCTTGCAGCACCCTCGTGCAAGCTTAAATAACATGTTCTCCCAAACAAACATGGATTGGAGATTCAGGATACATACAAGGTAAAAAGCATTGTAGGAATGATTAAATTAATCCAAACCAATTAAAGTTTAAAAAAATTCCAAGCATATTAAGGTATGGGCATACACAACTTGGACCCAAATAACCCTAGATTCTCACCCACATATTTAAAAATTGTAAATTATTTTTCATTAAAAGAAATTAGAGTTCAATAAAATGTGTCATTCAGTCCATGCTTCATGTTCCAAAACACAAGACTACTTTGCTTATAGCAATAAAATATTTCTTCTCTCTCACCTTGAAGTCAAGTCTTATATATCCTAAAAAAACTACAATCTGGTATATCTGGTAAGCTAATTATGCTAAGTATCTCATACCATAAATTAATATTTCCAACCCCCGGACTTACATTATCTCTTCCAGAGAACTCCGATTTTCTCAGGACTACTGGCCATGTCTACACCAGATGCTGAATGCACAGTCATTACTGCACAGTCATTTAGTTTATACAAGTACTAAATGCATAGTAACCAAAGTTACTGAGCAGTTGCACCAAGGAACAGCTGTTTTGTGATGCTGACTGCGCAGCAGCTCGTGACTACTGCGCAGTAGCATCGCATTATGCTTCCTGCCATGCCACGCTACTGCACAGTAGTCACAAGCTACAGCTTAGTCAGCATCTTGTGTAGACATAGCCACTGAGACTAAAAGCATCCTTTCAACAGAACCATTCCTGTTGCATCTAAAAGTGCAACCTCTATTAAATGAAAGTTGTGCTCATTTAACCCAAGTCCTCCGATACATTTCATTACTGAATTAATTCACTATTCAGCAGCTAAAAACACTAGCCACTTCTTTCCTATCCTTGACAATCCCATGCTACACTTCATTTTTCCTCATTTTAATTTAACAACTGAGGTTCTATATGCCACTTCAAGCACAATATTGCTAACCAAGGAGGAATGGCCAAAACCCCTTCATAGATGTACATTTCCACTACTGAAGTTAAGAATAAGGTTTACTATGGAACTGATTCTTTTCCCTCAGTTTGCTATGCACTTCTATGGGGAAGGTGATTATACTGTCAAGAAGAAAGGAAACTTTGAATTGGTAAAGCTAACAACCATCAAGTCAGCCAATTAAGATGTAACTTTAACATCTTCTCTTAAATGTTTTACACCAAGTTGTCAAACACATGGTCTGAAAGTCAAATCCAGCCCATGGAGCTGGATAACCATGGGGTTGCTGGAGCCAACCCCATGCGTTGGCCCTGACGCTACGTGCTGCATCAGGCTGGACCCAGCACCATGCCCCCTGCACACAGCACAGGGGCTTGATCCAGGACGTGCACTGGTTACAGATCAAGCTATGCTGGAACCAGTGTGGAAGGCTGGGCTGGTGGCACACCACATGTTGTGCACACTCCCTGCCAACCCCATACCCTATGTGCAGAGCATGCATCCAGTCCAACTCCATGTGCTACATGCAGCACATGCCAACCACAGAGATCACTGTGCACATAAATGGGACCAGAACAGGGTACGTGATGCTTAAAGGCTGGACTCGGTACTGCACACAGCACAGGGTGCCCGGGGTATGGGCTGGATGCTAGGGAACATAGTAGACTCCCCAACTCTGGATTCAGGGCTGGACATCTTCTGAAAATATATGCTCCAGTTCTGCCAGAAGTTTTTGGGTAAGTAACAGGTATTACTGCATGATAATTCTATGGCTTCAGCAAGAGGCCATAATAAAAGACCATTGGTCCCTTTGGCCTTAAAGAATCTATGAATTTTAATCACTAAATTATAGAATTTCCTGCTGTCAGCGTGTCTTTGGGGGAAAGCTGGCTTTCAGCCAGCCATGACAATATTAAACCCATCTGCCCTACTGAGCATGTTGCAATTATAAAAACTGACAGACTTAATATTAACATATTCTACAATGTGAATACTTGTTTTTACTAATAGATATTTAGTACATTTCTAGACAGACCAGTAAAATGAGGCTTCCCCTCCCAAACTATTTGAAAGTTTTCCAGCAGCCACGCTTTACTTCTCAGATAGAAATCCTGCTTTCTAGTTCTAGGCAGAATTCTCTAACTGTACCTCTTATCATCATGAAAAAATGAAGATCTTTATTGAAATTTCTTTAAGTTCAGTGAACCATGAGTTCCTAAACATGACTGAAGAAAATAACCAGAAAACTGCTAACAAAAGGCTGATAGCAAAGATAGAGCCTTTTCTCTGATTTTCAGGCATTTAGAAGATATTTCATAGATTTCATAGACATTAGGGCTGGAAGGGACCTTGGGAAATCATCGAGTCCAGTCCCCTGCCCCAAGGGCAGGAAGTTAGCTAGGGTCAAAGGATCCCAGCAAGATAAACATCTAAACGCTTCTTAAAGGAGTCCAGAGTAGTAGCAGTAACATTCTAAATGGTTAGATTCTTTTCCCCAGACCTCTGGAGGGAGCCTATTCCAGGCCTTGGGGGCTCGGACAGTAAAGAAGTTTTTCCTTATGTCCAGCCTAAAACAGTCTTGGAGGATTTTGTGACCATTGGTCCTTGTCATCCCTTGGGTGCTCTGACGAACAGACATTCCCCCGGATCCTGATGCACACCCCTGATGTACTTATAGGCTACCATGAGGTCATCCCTGAGCCTGTGCTTTTTCAGGCTGAAGAGTCCCATGGTTCTCAGCCTCTCTTCATAAGGCCTATTCTCCTGTCCTCTGATCATGTGCGCGACTCTCCTCTGAACTCTCTCAAGCTTCTCCACATCCTTCCTGAACTGTGGAGCCCAGAATTGGATGCAGTACTTCAGCTGTGGTCTCACCAAGGCCAAGTACAGAAGGAGGATGACATCCTGAGATTTATTTGAGAAGCACCTATGGATGCAAGCCAGAGTTTGGTTTGCTTTACCAGCTGTGACATCTCATTGGTGGCTCATGTTTATCTTGTGGCCAATCACAACCCCCAAGTCTCTTTCGGCCTTGGTGCTAGCGAGCATAGCACTGCCGAGCCTATAAGCATGCTGCAGGGGGGGGGGTTTCCCCCCAAGGTGGAATACCTTACATTTGTCGGTACTGAATGTCATCAGGTTTGTATCTGCCCACTTTTTCAGCCTGTCCAAGTCAGCCTGGATCACCAGCCTATCCTCGGGTGCAGACGCTCTACCCCAAAGTTTGGTGTCATCAGAAAACTTGATCAGTCCACTTCTGACACCAGTATCCATGTCATTGATAAAGATGTTAAAGAGA